CTGCCTTTCATGTTTGCAAATTCCTCCTGTCTTAAGTTAGGTTATACCTTCCATGTGGCTCAGGAGGGGTCAGCAGTGTGCCCAGCTGTTTTTGATTCACATTTCTGATTTTGCCTGGAAATGGCTTTATAGCGCAGGATAGTATAAGCTATTCCTTGAACATAAAGATATATGCTTCCTTCTGGGAAATATACTGACTTAAATTTCCACCTGCTCTTCCTGGATCTACAGTATTTACTGAGGAGATTATGCATCTGTCTGCTCACTCTTTACTCTTCCATTTGATTTACTTTTATTTGGCTTTAAGTAATAAAAGATGACCAAAAAGATAGAAATGATTCATTTCCAGGTGCCATGAGGGATGTGAGAGCACAATTTTTATCTATTTCACTGGAGATGAAACCTTAAAAGTAATTTGTCCCATTTGATCACTCAATTCTGGATATATGCTTCAGGAAATATCACCTGGTCGACCTTTTTTTTTTAACCAATCCACAAAGTTTTCACCTATCTTTTTGCAAAAGCCAGTAATGCCGGGTAATGCATTTGATGGCTGGGAACATCAATTATTTTAGGAAGTTAAGTATGGATGTTTTGGATTATAATTTCAATTTAGTATGAGAGCAAACTGGTTGTGACCTTGGCCCCGTGTCCTCCCCATGATTGACATGACTGGCTGTTGTCCAGGTGGGTGGGTAATCCTTCCCCACCAAAGCAGGTACCCATGTCCTGAAGCTTGTTCAGCTTGTTTGGCTCAACACAATGTACTTGTAAGATACAGGGAAGATACGTGAGCACTTATATTTTATTTCTCAAATTAAAATCCTTTCCCATCCATTAATTTTTAAACTGTGATTTTCTTCTATTCCTYAGGCTCTGCAGTGGAGATTTCCAGCCTGGAGTCTATAAACCTCTAGGTTTCCCATGAATGGATTTTAGAGGGTGCATATTCCTTTCATATATTATGCAAAATTGCATGTGGATGTGCAGGTGTCTAACATTCTGAGGAAATATGTCTTAGTGTTCATCAGATTCTTAACAGGTATGTGAACCTAAATGATTAAAGTCACTGTTAGGATTCATGTTAAGTTTTATAGCTAAAATGAACTGATATTTTATGGAATTACACAGGGCACAGTTAAGTGGTGGAATGTTAATTCCCTAGAATATAATGTATGTTCGTTTATTTGTATATACAGATCTTGCAGATCTTTCCTATGATCCTTTTGCTGAAAGCCTTTTGAGGTTCTGAAGGATTTACTTAGCATACACTATGACTACCAGACTACCAGGTGAATTCATGTCAGTGAAGTTGGTGATGCTAACCAACTTGGTGTTGCTGTCAGTAAGAGAACCACACCAGCTAGCAAGCATCACCAGTATTTGAGTGCCTCAAGTCAAGTTCCTGATGTACTCATACATTTGTCAATGGTCCTGGCTTTTAAATGGCATCTGTGGATCTGGATAGAGTGATTATTCTCTGGGAACATCTCCTTTCTGTTATATTTATAGTCATACTGATCTATACATGTATCTTATTTACTTATTCTCCTTTCTTTCCAAAGATAATTCCAACTTGCCTTCCCTGATATAAGCAGTCAGGGATCATCCTTGTTGAGCAATGCTGTACTCAGCCGAGGATCAAGCCTTCAGTTAGTGGCTGACACTTAAAACTGTACCACAAGGTGACTACGGGGAAAGGGAGAGCAGGTGGAAAGGTCATTGATGGGAGGCCAGATGCAGTGATGAAGATATAAGAGAGGAGAAATTACTTAAGGAAGGAGATTTGGGCCTTATTATAGTTTCTACATTTTATTTTTGTATATATATATATATATATATATATATATATATATATAGATAGATAGATATAAAATGTACACCTTTTATGGCTATGCAGTCATCCAAAATGACATCAAAAGTTCTGGGCTCAGCGACTGAGAGACATAAGGGATGAAATCACTAAGAATGATGCCCTTTGATAATGTCACATATATTTCCTAGCTATTCTTAGTCATTCTCTCTCCCCATATATGTTACACACACACACACACACACACACACACACACACATACATACGAAGTTTTTAATGCTTCCATATACTGAAGTAGAGAAAAAATGACTCAAAATGAATCATACAATAGGGAGAATTTTGGTCCTGAATCACTAGGACAAAACAGAGTGAAATTATAATTGTCTCCTTTCCTTGTCTTAACTGGATTTAAGACACTGCTAACAGCATTTCTAAGTGGTGAACTTACAAGTTATGATTAACAAGCTCCTCAGATTTGATGATCATGGAGTCTTTCTACACTGTACAAAGATTYCTTAATCTTCTCAATGTCATACTATATTGCTGCCATGCTGGGCAGAAGGAGAAGAGGCACTTCAGACTGGTTGACAGAGTACCTTCATGGTCTAAAAATATTTAGCCTTGGGTCAAAATGCATCCAGATGCAGAACGGCCAGGTCCACTTTCCCTCAGTGTTCCTTTTTCCTGGAGCATCAGAACAAATGATATGACTTATTTCATCTTAGATATTCTCCAAACATCCTGAGAATTGCAACTCTTACCTTTGGAGCCCAAAGAGCACTACCAATCTCCTGAATGCAAAACCTCCTTCAAGGTCTAACAAGTTCCTGCCCACAGAGAGGCTGAAAAAAGACTTGGCAAAACCATGAAAGCAATGCTGAAGGGAGCAGGGAGGGAGAGAGTGCAGAATGGTTGGAAGACTCCAGGAAAGAACAAGCAGGACTGGCTGCAGCCTGCAAGAATTCTGGGTGTGCCATCATTGGAATACAATGTTCCCAGACCAAATGCACCAGACAAGAGAAGTGGAAATTTGAGAAGTTGAAGAAAGGCTGGGAGCAGGGCMGGGAAGAAATGGTGAGGAGCATCAGCTTTGTCACTTAGAATCAGAAATACATTTTGCCTCATTGTTTCCCAGCGTTCTATAGACCTGACTTTTTGGCCTTATATGATAAAGTGTTTTTCAGAGGTCTATGTTCTTCATAGTAACCCAGTTCCCTGATGCCTGATGGAAAAGTCAGATCCCAGCTCAATCACTTGTAAACTCTGAAACTTCAGGGCAAGGTTTTCAAATTGCAACTGTGTGTATCCTTTTCAATGATTGGGCACATTCTATTTGCCTCAAGAGATTGTAGATTCTCACAAAAGCTGGACTCTTGAAAGGCTAAGGAAGGGTTTTGAGTCTTCATATACAAGGAAAGTGAGTATAACTTCAGCTTGCAACCTGTGGCCCACGAAGGGTCCTAGACATAACTTGCAGAGGGGGTAGGGAGGAGTCATTCTGAGAAGCATTTCCATACCCTTCTGGTATTCCTTTCCTATCAATTTTGATTTCCAATCTTTATAGATGCCCTGACCCTGAAAATCTACACAGACTAAAATGGAAAACAAAAGTCTCCCAGTGCAAGTCCTACTATGAAGGACAGTGGCCTGAGCAAGAGAGGGAGGATACTTTCCATCTCAAGGGCCATTTGGTCAACAGGTGCTTTGGCTTCAGCTGATGGGTCTGCACTTTGGTCCTGCACAGCTACCATCAAAACTTGGGTGTAGGCTGGGACTCCTGCATGGGGTACTTTACCACTGAGCTATATTCTGAATCCTTTTTATTTTCGAATGGTGTCTAAGTTGCTGCGGTTGGCCTTGAACTTTTCTTTTTTCTTTTCAAATATATATATATTTAGTTGTTGATGGACCTTTATTTTATTTATATGTGGTGCTGAGGATTGAACCCAGTGCCTCATACATGCTGGGCAAGTGCTCTGCCACTGAGCTATAGCCCCATCCCATTTGAACTTTTCATTAGGTCTGATTTTTAACACGACCAAGTAAGAATAGGAAAAGTACTGCAGGGTTAATTAAATGTCTAAGTAAAGTCATTAGGYACTTGGCTTTCTTGGTCTTATGTGTCACTATTTTTATGTTTAAAAAAATCCCCATTACTAAAATATTTTACTAAAAATTTTGGATTTATGCATCTAATTCTAGATATATGTGTATATGTAATCTCTATATTCTCACTTAAAAAAKAATTCTCAAATAGCTACATTTTGTTGTTGCTGTTGTTGTTGGTGGTGGTGTTGGGGATGAAACCCAAGGCCTTGTGCATGCCAGAGAAATACTTTACCACAGCTACACCCCCAGCCCTGTATGCGTTTAATTTTTAAAGCATAGCAAACACAGATTTTAGATTTAGGATTTAAAATATAAATATATATATATATATATATATATATATATATATATATATATATAAATTTAAAATATATATTATATTATATATATAATTACATATATATAATTAAAGAAAGGACTTGAGCAGAGTTTTGCTGCTTTTACTGTGTCGGAGTAGCATTATACACACTTTTTCTGAGGTTTTATGGAGAATCCATACTGTACAAACAATATCTGTGATTTTTGCTTCTGAATGGAAAAACAAAAAACAATTAGTGAGGTTATTTTTCTTCTCTGGTAAAGTATGAAGGAACCACAAAAAAAAAAGATAGTTTTCCTTTTTATTTAAAGAAAGTTGTGAGAAAGTAACCCATTAACAAATTTAACACTACTTGCATCAAGGGAATTGTGTAGCATTCTCAATTCTACCAAGGCAAAATGTCTTAGAAAAGAAATGTAACATTTCTCATTAAATGTGGTCTAAGTTGGCTACATCCAGCTTTTGATTTTTATGGATGTCGAGGAGAAAAGGCAGTTAAAAAGTAAAGGAGATTTTCAGTATTTGGGCCTGTGGAGGAGCATGGAAAAGAAAGAATATAATATTTTCATTAGGTCTGATTTTTAACATGACCAAATAAGAATAAGAAAAGTACTGTAGGGTTAATTAAAACTAGTGTCTAATTGAAGAATGAAACATACATTTGGAAACAAAATTTAAGGCTGCTTAACAAAAGAAATGCTTTGTTTCAGGTTGGTTGATTGGGTTTGCAGTGGATCTACAATTCACCAAGGTACAGTGTGGCTTATTTTTGTATAATTTAGATAATGTAGCATAATTCCTTTTGTTTTCCTCAGTAACTTTTAACATTCATGATTRTCTGCATTTGAAGCCTCCATATTGGCTTATAAAATGGGAATGTAACTGTTGATTTTAGTTCGATGTCTCTGGGAAATGCATTCTGCTATCCACACAACATTTCTCATTTCTTGTTCCTTCAGCTTTACATATGCATAAAACACACCGTAGTGGAACTGCCTGTTGAATGCCAGCACATTCATTTGTACCTGAGGAAGGAAAAAAAACAACACGGGTGATCAACTTCTCTGGAACATACTGCACTTATGAAATAATATTAAGCTACAGACTGGCTTCTGTTCAATCAGTGCTTATTTGAATTTAAAAAGACAATATCCAAGTTGGGCCAAATGGAAGAAGAAAACAGTAGCAATTCRGTAAGTTCTAAAGGGAGCATTAGAACTTTGACCAATGCAGAAAGCAGCACTTTAAAAAACCAAGTGTATAGACTCATAATACAAACTCCAAATTTTAGCAGCACTGCTGCTAGGGTAAAGATTGCTAGGTGTATTTTGGAATGTGTGTCTAACTTTGTACTAATATTTGTCTGGCTTCCACCTAGTGAACTTGTCTCATTTAAGTATTCTTGGCCACAACTTTTAAAAATTGAAAAAGGTATTTAGGGTGTCTAACTCCCCTCCAGGGCAATGTCACAGGCTCCTRGAATTTAGATTGAGTGATATTATGAGCTTTTTAAAGATACTTGGCAGCAATTTTCCATACAGTTGTTTTATTCTGTAAAAGCTAAGTGAGCAAACAAAAATTGTCAAAAATAATTTTTTAACTGGAATAAAGTAGGAAATTCCTTCCTTTGTTTCCATTTTGACATTTAGGATGGAAAAAAGGAGGAGAAGTATTTAGTTCCTCATGTAGCTCTGAAAACACTGCACAAAACAGTCAGGAAGTGGAGGCTGCCTCTGTTCTCAGCAATAGATACTTATCCCTGCCAAGGGCAGCTTCTTTAATAGYCCCTTTTGCAGCAGTAGCACAATAATGTGGAATTTAGAAAGAACCCTAATATATTGGGTAATTTGCATTGTTGTTGCTTTTTTCTATGACAGACATGAGAACTCTCAGAAAATGGCTAAAGGGTAGGTACAAGAAAGTTTCCAAACGGCTTTCGGGAGCCAATCCAACCCTATTATTAGTTTCGGTCAGATTGAGATGGAAGGACCAATGATTTCAGAGAAATGAATACATGAGAAACATTCTCTAGATTTGGGGGGAATTTACCTGGTTGGGGGGAAACACTTTTGTTAAAACAGTCCAGTAGTCCACTAATTGACTATACATGAGTTAAGTACTCCTCTGCCTTTTTTAAGGAAAGAGAAGAGTCTAGAATCTCCAAATGGATTTCCATATAAATAATTCCTAAGATTTAAAATCGTGTCCATGTGTTTTAACCACGGAAAACCCTTCCTGAAGGGAAAATGGATTAGAACGAGATGTACCAAACGGTGAATATTGTCAATATTTGATGGTGAGGAGRTACTAACTGGCTTCTCTAGTTAATTATGGAATAGCTGCTTTCCTCCAGAGCATCCAGGGTTGCACATCTGTTTTTCCAGGACAATTCCATATGAAGCTATCATGTGTAAGCCGTAGAACCTTGGCACTCCAAGTCAGCCATTAATATGCTATTAATTGACATGCATTGATTGGCCTGCTCAACTACAAAAAGAATACCCAAACTAGAGCATATTTAAAGCCCACAGTAAAAGTATGTTAACTGATAGCCTTTTTTATTTATATCATACCTCATGCTCATAAAACACATCTTCCAATGTCTTTCCCCCATTGCCACCTACAGCCTCAAACAAAGGCTTGTATACCTTAAAAACAAAGACAAAGATTAATTTTTAAGAAATCTTCACTTATTATWAATGTATGTGAATATATTTTTCTAGAAATATAGAAATTGTGAATTAATTTATTTTTTTTAAATCTATACCAGAAGCCCTGAATATTTTATGTAGGATCTTTGGTCTCTGGTCTGGACAAAAGAGAAAAATAATCCAAATAATAAGAGTGTGGATGAAATTCTAACCTCTTCACTTATTCGGGGATACAAGGCAAGAGGCAAAAGCTGACATTCTAGTCTTAACATACACTGTCAGAACTAATTACACACTCCAGTTCTTTGGACTCAGTGAAYGCTTATAGTTTGATCAATATGGGTTCATGAGGGGAGATGACAACTGATAAAATTCACATGAAATTTCAAATGTGGAAGGGATGGGAATTGGGGGAAAGCTCCAATTTAAAACTGTGTTGAATAGTCTCATGTAATTATAGGTGAGATGTTATGAAGGTCCATGTATCATTTGCTGACTTTTCTGTTTACTAGAGGGCTTCAGAAATCCACAGGAAGGGCTGGGGATATAGCTCAGTTGGTAGAGTGCTTGCCTCGCATTCTCAAGGCCCTGGGTTTAATCCCCAGCATCACAAAAAAAAAAAGAATTCCATAGGAAAAGATGAGTGTCATTCTAGTCCAGGTAAAAGTTAYCTGGAGGGTATGTAACTGTCAGAAGTCAGAGGGAATAGAATCTGGGATGAGATATGTAACCTTGAGCTGAGAAGCTTCAGGCTGTTTTAGAGTAGCTCAATGCCAGCAGAGGGGAAGAATCCCAGTAGTTCTCTTTCCTCTCCCAGTTTCTTTTCTTTCTTTTTCTTCCCTCCCACCACATTCTGGGGATTGAACCTAGTTGTGCTTTATCACTGAGCCACATCCCCAGCCCTTTTTAAATTTTGAGACAGGGTCTTTCTAAGTTGCTTAGGGCCTCCCTAAATTGCTGAGGCTGGGCTTTAACTTTTAATCCTCCTGCCTCAGCCTCCTGAGTCACTAGTATTACAGGTGTGCACCACCACATCCAGCCTCTCCTGATTTCTGCTACTCAGCAAAAGGAGTGGAAAAATGCATGCATATCTCCATTCTTGTCTTGTAGTCCAGATAAATATTTGGCCCCTTGCCCTGTTTCCTCAATGAGTACTTGAAAAGACCACTGGGTCAGGGTATTGCACATAATTTTGACATGAGCTCACATTTCCAGAATACCACATCAGTCTCTTGGGTAACTTGTTTTATCGAGCTCTTCAAAGGAGTGCTCAGGTGGCCACTCCTTAGAGATTTAAACAAATACTTGCTTGGCAGGAACCTTAAAAAACACACTTGGACCAGTAATTTGAAGTATGTCTTTGGGAGAGATGATTCTTTGTTACCTAATAAACTATAACTTCTTTTGACAGGAAGTATAAATTGGATGTGTGGACTTCTAAAGCATATGTGAAGAAATTACACAAGGTAGCAGGGTGTGGTGGCGCATGCTAGTAATCCCAGCAGCACGGGAGGCTGAGGCAGGAGGATTGAGACTTCAAAGCCAGCCTCAGCAACTGTGAGGTGCTAAGCAACTCAGTGAAACCCTGTCTCTAAAAAAATACAAAATAGGGCTGGGGATGTAGCTCAGTGGTCAAGGGTCCCTGAATTTAATCCCTGGTACAAAAAAAAAAAAAAAAAAGAGAAGAAATCACACAAGGTGCTTGGGGCACCTGGGGTAATTACGTACTCCATAATGGTCTGCTACTCTCTTCATCTGGTCAAAGTCTTCCACTTGAGCCAACAAGCGCAACCCCTCAGGATGGAGCTTTCCACAGGTCGGATAGAGGGTCTCCCGGTCTTCCTTGCTCAATTCAGTGCCAAAGGAGTTAAGAGTGATGATGAAAGCTCGTCTGTCAGCCTCAAACTGAATTTGCAAGACAAAAATCAGTAAAATCTAATAATCTACAAAATGGTCTAAACAAAACCTTAAGCAGGCATTCATTTCTGAAGTGATTTGCTTTCTTTTCCTGACCTCTGTCTAATTTGAATGCAGACATATTATTAATGTTCCCTTAGTCTCTTTTTGGAAAGGAGTAACTTTGCTTCCCAGAGCAGGATCTCACAGAGAGGTGATGGCCTGCGACCCTTGAAACCCCACCAAGTTTTATTTCCCAGACACCCTGCACCTCATGTGGGCTACTACAGTCACATAAAAAATGGAGACTAATACCATAAAAATGGGAATACTATGCATTTATACTGCAGTCAGGGACAGAATAAGACCATATAAGTGGAAGTACCTAGCACAGTCTTTGGGGGAAAAAGTGCATTTCATACAAGTTAACATCTTTTTCTGAATGTTGATAGTATAATTGTGGGTGTGGGTGTGAGTGCACGCCTGCACATGTATGTCCAGGCCCTCATGCAAGCTAGGCARGTACTCTACCACTAAGTGATATCCCTAGCTCATAATTTTAACCATTTGTTTGTATTTTCATGGTTTGGATTTTATTTTTTAATATCCTTGATTAGCTATAAAAGAAAATCCAACTCTGTACCTAAGAATTCTATGGCTTGGGTGAGTTATCTTCCTCTCAGAGCCTATGCTTCCTTATTCATAAGAGGACAGGGTTGGCTACATGATTCTCAAGGTAAGTCAATATAAAGCCACTAGGCACCTGAGCTTCCATCCTCATGTAAGACCTAGTTCATTCAATCACTCATTCTAGAGACTTCCTTCTTTTCATTTGCTGTCCATGTTTTTACTATCTCTTGGTTCTCCTTCTACCTATTCTGACCATTCCATCTCACTCTATCCCTCCAGGATTCCTCTCCCACCTACCCTGGTATTTGCCATGGTCACTGGCCTCAGAAACTTGAAGTGCCTTATACTTACACATTAATTTGAAATCTGTGCCTGTGTTTTATGCTCACTGCACTCTTAGATCTTTGAGGGATCAAATCTCTTCTTCCTTGTTCATTTTTGAATAACTAATGCCCAACACACAGGAACATCTTAACTGTTTACTGAATCCAATAGAACAGTCTGTGGTGTTACTACTTTCCAAGTTCTCTAAGCTTTTCTACAATGTTGTTACTCAAGAGTATTTCACAACTCAGTAGGAGTTTGTCACTAGGAAGCCCAATGGAAATGCAGAGTCTCAGGCCACAGTCCAGACCTACTGAACCAGAATCTGCTTTTTAACAAGTTTCTAAGGTTATTCATGTGCCTACAGAAGCTGAAAAGAATGGCTCTATGCTATCCWTTAATCTTACTTCTGATAATTAACCAGTGACAAAACCAGACTTGCAACAGATTTTACTGGAATTTACTGTTTGTTAGAACAGGTGTTTCCTATCAGAAGGAGAGTGAGAGTTTTGTCTGATCCATTTGATTGCTCTCATGGAAATTATGGGTGGGCCAGGAGCCRGGAGTGGCCCAACTGGGAAGCAAAAGCAGCTGCCTCTGGCTACTGAAGAGCACCAGACCTGTCAGTAAGTTTAGACCTTGAAGGGACAAGAGAAAAAATGCCAAGAGGGAGATTCACAGCAACAAGAAACCTTAAAATAAAAATTAGGGCAGGAGGAGCAACAATGGAGGTGATTGTCCCAGATGTTCTTTTATGTGTTTTCTAGTTCTAAGATGTTAGGATTTTGAGGCGAGAATTAGGGCAAGGTAGGCAGCACTGCAGATATGCCAGACAACAGAGGCCACGCCAGAGGAGGAGCCTGAGTGAAGGAGGGCATGACATTTTGGAGGAATGATTGTAATTCAAACATGGRGAAGCAATTAGAGAGGTGGGTGGACTGGTAACTGGGGAGAGAACATGAAGGGCTTAACATGCCCTGTCAAGAACAGAGGACTTCAACAGACACAATAGTTACRGGAACATTCTGAACACTTGCCAATTCCTTGTCCTTATTACTACTTTTTCCCCTAGCCTGCAACACATAGACCCTGTACCATACCTCTGCATGTTGAATTCCTACCTATATTTGAGGGCCCCATCAAATGCCATTTTTCACAACAAGCCCTTCTATTTCTTCCCTAAGTGGACATGATTTCCTTTGAACCCCTATTATACTTTCATTTCTCTTATAGTATAACTACGTGCATATCCACCTTTATTCCTACTGTAGAGGCTGTGTGTGTGTGTGTGTGTGTGTGTGTGTGTGTATGAGTGAATCCTCTCAGTCAAAAGAACTATAATTTTAGAATTAGGAAAAGACTATTCTTTGATCATCCCTAAGTGAAGTTTGACAAGATCTGACTACGGGAAATCAAATGGGGTGATACTGGTTTGATTAAGCTCCTGTTTTCTTTGCAGGGAACTGGGTTCCCGTGTGGCAAAGTGTATGTTGGATGCCCTTACYAGTCTAGGAATATTCATTTTCAAATCATAACTTATTTTTATTGTTGTTGTTAAGAAAAAACCATACTATTGACTTATTCAGTAATTATCAGTTGCCTATCATAGAGTTGAACTGATCAGGTCACACATTGCCAGTTCCTTAAAGGAAAAAGGATACACCTGGTGGGGTTCAGAGAGCAGAGGTGTCCATGGCAATGGAAGGGTGAGGTGAACTGGAATCCAGCCCAACCTTATTGCCTGTGTACTGTATCATTAACCATTTACAGTAGATGGAAGATCAGGAACAAAAGGTGATAGTATACTGCAATGTATTTGTTTTGAATTTTAATCAATTTCTTTTCTTCATATGGAAGTACAATCTTATAATGAGGCCAAATTTTCACATGCAAGTCTAGGTTTATGCTCTCTTCTTCCATTAAGTGAGATTAAATGAGCATGTATATGAAACTTTATAAATTTATCTGTAACTGCACAAATGAAAGGAAGGTGATTATATGATGAAAAATATGTATGTAAAATGAACAGATCTTTTCTGAACATATAATTAGAAAAGTTATAATGTTGTCCAGGATTCCATGTACAGCTGTATAGTGGTAGCTGAATCTTCATTTTTAATAGTTAAAAAAATTATTCTAATTTGATAGTATTTTGAGGATAGGAAAGAGAAAATGAAAACAGTGGGCTTATAGTTATTTGGTCAAATTCTTTCAGGGGCAAACATTTTTCTAACACTATTGTGTCTTTTTACACCAGTGAGGATTACAAAAACATAATTCTTACTGATTTCTGAATTTTTAGGCCATACAGTAGGATCTTGCTTATGAATTAGTACTTTATACAGGTCAACTGTGAATGGTGAAGTTCATACAGAGCTGACAACCAGGAGCCAGGMTGCCTGGTTCAGATCCTGACACTACCACTTACTAGAGTTGTAACAATAGGTAAGTCACTACCTTTATCTGTGCCTCAGTTGTGCTTTCTGAAAACCAAATACTAAAATGCCCATTTTGTTGTACACTTTTGAAGTCCATATGAATTCATGTATATAAAGCACACAGGATAGACTATCACATAGTAAATGTTGGCTATGAATWGCACCATTTTATACCTTTTGAAAAGTTATAAGTTTTAACAAAACTTTTATTTCACATACTTCTAGGTTTAAGATATACAAAACCACTTCTAAACCACAAAAATGATGCCAACTAAAAACTAGTTGTGAACGATAAATAATAAGACTTTTTCCAATAGGGAGACATTTTTATAATAAATTATACTTACTGTGTGGCTAAATTGATGAAACAAAAGAGAACAGTTTCATAAGATCAYGAGGTTATTCATGTTATATGACCAGCATGAAAGAGACTAGCTCGCTTTCTGATTTTAAGTTTGTCATGAAAAAAAAAGTTATTTATTTATTTGATACCTTCTTCCTGTATAACATGGATAAGGACAAACATAGTTTTGGAGTTCTTTACTTTTTGGAGATCTTTACTTCAAGCAGTGCTATGGATTTAAGAATTTCAACAGGGGATAGCTACATATTTTTAACTGTAAAAWTTTAATGATTAGATATATGAGGAAAACTAATTTCATATATGCAGTAACAGAACATTAGGTTAAAATACATGCAAATGATGTTCAGTTGTTGCTGCTTTTTTCTTATGTTGCTTAGATTTTTCTTGAAATCAGAAGTCTTTGGGTTACCTCAATATCTATCCACCTGTGAAGTCAACATAACAGATAACCTATGATTAAAAATATTCTTTACATAAAACTTAGTTTCAGAGGACAAAACTTCCCTGCCCTGATCATGCATGCATTTGTAAATCCACCTTCATGCAAGAGGACCTCTAAGCATAGATAGAATCATGGTGATAAAGAGGAATTAAAAAGAGTATAATATCTGCTGCAGAGGTAGACAAACCAGCACTCCACCACTGAGCTATGCCCCTGGGCCCCAGGCAAATACCACTCTTAATTTAAGACATCAAATGATATATATAATCAAGTGTCTGCTTATTTTTAACATGGCTTCTAAGATAAAAAAAAAATATAAGCAGGGTCAAAACAAGAAAAAGTATGTAAACACATTATTTGGCATAAAATATTCAGGGGCTCTTTCTTACCTCAAGAATGGGACACATAATTTCTGCTGTGACATCACCATGATTCTTACAAAATTTGTAGAATGCCTCAAGGTAAGACTGAAAAAGAAGAAAGATCATAAAACAATAAAATGAATATGTTTTCCTTTTGGAAATTTCTAGATCAGTTTTTAYGGAGTATTAAATGCTATAATGGCAAYTGAATTATTATTTTTTCCAATAGGGAGACATTTTATAATAAATTTGGTAGACACTTTCATGTTGCGGCATGTTGCACAGTCTAAAAAAGAACTCCATAAAAGAACAAAATGGCACTTATCATAACTTATAATTACGCATTTTTTTTGCATGGTTCTTGAATTATTTCATATGGTTAATTCTGGCTATTCTAACAAGAGTGCCAAGTTCTTTTCTAAGCTTAGCAAGTGATTTTAGCGGCCCTGTGCTGACATTTAATCTCTCAGAAACATATTTGGGATGACTTGAGTGTGAGGATATATTGGAAAGACAGACTGGGTTGCAGGGTCAGACTGCCKGTGTGTGAATCCCAATTCTCATGCTCACTAGTTAACTAACATCTACCAAGGAAACCCTATATCTCCATGTCTCAGTTTTTTCACCTGAGGAATGGGTATGGTAGAAATCCCCGTTTGGCTATTAGATGAAGTAAGTTAAGGCCTAAAAATGGCTTAGAGTGGTGCCTTCTGTTAGTTATATCTCAGGGACATCTCCTTAAAGCCCACATCTTTTTATAAAAAGAAAAATTGCTTGTAGTACAATACTTTTGAGAGGACCATGTGTTTGAGCTAAGCCTGCTATACATAAATGACACTATATATTAATTTATCCTGTGGGAGTATCCAAAGATGCTACAAAGGTTGGAATGAAAAAGGGCAGATTTGCTCAGTCCATACACAAGGCTACTCTAATGGTGGCAGCACAGTCCAGACAGTTGGATTGTGCAAAGTGGTGTATGTGATGTGGCGGCCACCAGTTTTTCATTTTGGTGATTGCGACACACTGTACTTTAAAATTGTGTGGGCAGGTTAACTATGAGATGTGGGGACTCTATAACAGGATCAACGACAGAGAGRGACACTACATAGCAGAAGGTTTACTATGCATGCTGGTTACTTTAAATGGATTGATATGGTTCACCCCACTCTTTTATCCATCCACCTACCACCATCCAAGCAACACCTTTTATATTCTGGGCACTGCATGGAGCTAGAAATACAGAAGTACAGGGCATGCTATTTCCTTTCAAAAATCTTGTTGGCTGAGGGAAGCTGACATGCATGAATGCAATGGGAAGACAGACAAAAAAGAACTACATTCCAAATCTGCATAGCTTCATTATTATAGAAGTTGGCTGATGGGCAAAGTAACTTTTGTTGATAAAGAACTCTGGTTATGATACATYGCATAATCAAGAAAAATATAATATTCAGGAAAACCATTACCTTATACAGTTTATTGCGCAGCAATTCAATATTCAGCTCATCTAGGGTATTTTCAGACATACAGTCTTGAAAGAATGGAGCTGAAAACAGAAATTTATCATAAAAAAATAAATAAATCAAAGGCAAGATTATAAAGTGTAGATAACGTTTCCTGAACACACGACTCTGCTCACTCCTAATGAGAACACTATGGAGTTGCAATCTACAGACTCAATAAGGCTAGCRGGAATTAAGATGATAGAAGTTATAGAGCATTTACTATGAATGAGGCCTGGACACTGCTCACTGTACTAAACACTGAATTCATTTTGGTTTATTTTAATCTTCTCAGCACCTTGGAACTACTCACTGAAGGCTCACTTTTTKAAATCCCTCCTTTATATCCCCAACACATGGCTGCTTATCTAGTAGTAATATTTATCATTTGCAACCTAATTTATGCTGTTATGAATAAAAATTATGTCACAGTTAGTTTGCAAAACTCTGTTACCACAAGATATGATTATTTCCAAAATGAAGAAACTGGGATAAATTGAGTAGTCTCAAGTCACCTTGGTGAGACCAGGCAGAGCCTGACTTCGGCTCATGTCTGTCTGACTCTAGACTCACCCCTTTTCCATAGGCTATGCTGCCTTAGCCTTGGACACAAAAGGGTGACACAAAGTTTTTTCTTTTTTTGCCTTTTTAAATTTCTGTCTTAAATGGCAATCATTTTGGCTAGGGGTGCAGCTTAGTGGTAGAGTACATTCTTATTACACAGGAGGCCTTGGGTTTAATCCCCAGCAAGTTAGAATAAAAGGCATCTATTTTGACAAATGATTAACAGTGAAATGCTACTACCCAGAGTTTCTGACAATAATAGATAAATAATACTCATAAAGTTCTTCTTTAGCATTGTTAAAGAATAAGATTGCATTTTTAAATAATAATAATAATAATAATAAATGAACATTTATAGTACAGGGTTTGCAAGTTGGAAGATGATCCCCAGCTTCTTCTCCACTATGAATGGTTCACATGTGACCCTAAGCAGGTTGATTCACTTATCTTGGCCTGAAAAATGATGGATCAAGATTAAAAGAATCTGCTGGGCACAAAGGCACACTCCTATAATCCCAGCAGTTTGGGAGACTAAGGCAGGAGGATTGTGAGTTCAAAGCCACCCTCAGCAATGGAGAGGTGCTAAGCAACTCAGTGAGACCCTGTCTCTAAATAAAATACAAAATAGGGTTGGGGATGTGKCTCAGTGATTGAGTGCCCCTGAGTTCAATTCCTGGTACTCCCCCCTCAAAAAAAAAAAAAAAAGATTAGAAGAATCTTTAAATGCCCCCCCCCAACTGCAGCAAATCTGTATTGTATAAAAATACAATAAAAAATAATTAATTAAAAAAATACAATCATGTTAGAAAAAATTATGAACTGAAAGCACATTTTCTACTGACTGGGATAGCATACATGGGCAGTTTATGCATGCATACCTAATGGTGTTTCAACCAGAACAGCATTAAAGAGATCTGAAGTGGTCTCTGCAATGTTGACAGCTTCCATTTCTGTGAAACGGCCCAATGGGTGGCACTTGGCCAGAATCTCTTTCACGGATTTTTTCTGCAATGCACCATTCATCAGTAGAATCACATTGTCTATCATGTAACTGCACCTGGTTTAGAAGAAGACTCAAATATTAGAGAACCAACTGCATGAAGAAAAGAAGCATCCCACAAGTAAAAACATACAGTTCAGCCATAATCTCTTTCATTTAAAAAGGGAGCATTTTAAAATTTTTAAACTAAAAATTTTAAACTTTGAGGTGGGTAAAAATATCAGTCATAGTTTGAAAAACCACAATCAACTAATTAACAAACTTTAGCTGGCGGGGTTGGGGATGTAGCTTAGAGGGAAGGCACTTGCCTACATATGTGAAGCCCTGGGTTCAATATCCAGAATTAAAAACAACAACAACAACAACAACAAAAAACCTGGCTGGTAGGAATATGCAAAAGATGGCCATTATGTAATAATTGTCAGATGTGGTGGAACAGAAGTGAGGGTGTGAAGTGTTTGATTTATCAAAATGGACTACACTCTTGATAGACATAGAGCACCTCGTTCTTCTTTAAAAWTTGACTATTCAAATCAACAGTGAAGTCTATCACAGAAAATTCAAAATTTATGCTAAAAATATTCTGTGTTCTTTTCCTCCTATGAGACCMGGTAGTGAATTTTCTAGCCACTCAACCCATGTCCTCAAGAGCCCATAGGTTTATACTTTTTGTGATTTCTTTACTTGATATAATTCTGCCTTCAAAACAGGGTGAATGTGTTTGTTTGCTCATGTTTCTAGCACCTAAGATATGCCAAGAAATAAGATTGGGAGTAAAGGAGAACCAGTCCCTTGCTTTACACAGAATACAGTTCAAAGTAGGATCTAACTGAACAAAGAAGCATTTACAATAAACAATAATGAAGCGTACACATGCTATGCAAAAGAAACAAAGGATGGTGTGATGATTGTAGTTGTGTTGTAGGGATAGATGAGGCAAGGCACCGAAGATAGCAGGAAACAGTTTTATTGGGCTGCAGCCAGGTTCAGAGGGCACAGCTTTTGCTGTAATCATTCARTCCCCTGAACCCCGAGTTCAGGTAGTTTCAGAATTTTATACCCAGCATGTAAGGGGAAGGATTCAGAAGTTAACATAAACGCAGCTTTTTCTTTCACTGTTTTGGGCAAGTTAACTCTTCAAGGACAGCACTTGAAAAGGGGAGAGCTTCTTCTCCTCTTTCTTTCCTCCCCCTGCCAGCTGTTACCATGGAGCCCARTTGGTAACTTCTCTTATCTTAGAAATGTAGACATCTCTGTGAAGCCCAGCTCAAGGCCAGAGGYCTTGTTTGTACATTTCTACTAATTACTATACTGGATACTTTTGTGAAAAACTAGTAAGGRGTGTCCAGAACCTGGAGTGCTGATTTCTTCCTGGCTAGTGTCCAAATAAGATAGAGCAACACGAAAATAGGAAGTTTATCTACATTAAACTCTTTTGTAGAGACTCTTGCTGGCAGTCCTAAAATCAGCCATGGTGAAGATTTCTGGAGCAGCCCAGTTTAGTCTTTTCTGTAGAGAAAGGGGGTGCCACTAGAGTTGGGGCCTCAACTAGTCCAGGAATCAGACTTCCTATGGAAGTAACATTTCAGTTGATACCTGAAAAACAAGGAGGAGCTTTGCAGGCACAAGGGGCCAGAAGCTTCGGGGAAGTATGTCAAGGAAGAAGGAAGAACATTTGAAAAGACCTGATCATGACAGCACAAGAATATTCAGTATATGTTTTTTTTTTTTTTTTTTTTGGCCTGGTATTGAGACATGAGATGGGGCTGAGGCATGCATGCACAGTCATGGTAGACCAGATAAGSAATTTGGATGTTGGAGGTAATGAAGGATACTGAATGCTTTTAAGTGGAAGGGAATGTTATCATCTATGTATTGAATATTAGAACAGGAGAAGAGGTAAATACATACATATGGTATGAGGGCTTTGTAAAACTTATCTTATTTAATCTTAATAAGAACACTGTAAGGTAGAGTCTATTCTTATTTCCATTTTACAGGTGAAGAACCAAGATCCAGAGAGATACAAACCAAGCCCGTAACACACACAGCTACTAAGTGGCCAGCTGAGAATCAAACTCAGATGAGACCCTATTCATAACCCTTATACATGCTGCTTTTAATCATCAAGTATGATGCATAGGTTTCTAGCAGTTAGATTTACTTAATGAGATGAGTGCATTGGAGGAAGAGGAAGTTGCAGTGAGTACAGATATTTTGAGTGTAATGAGTTTAAGGTTCCCAGGAGATATCCAAGAGGAGATGCTAAGGAAGCCTAAGAAGTCTGAATCCTGGAAACAGTGGTAGACTACAGGCATTTGGGAGGATCTGGAGGGAGGGATTCTTTCTATCTATCTTCTATCTATCTATCTATCTATCTATCTATCTATCTGTCTATCTATCTATCTATCTATTTTTGCAATACTGGGGATTGAACCCAAGGGTGCTCTACCACTGAGCTACATCCCCAGCCCCCTTCCCCCCACCTTTAAAATTTTTAGACAGGGTTTCACTAAGTTGTCCAGGCTGACTTCAAACCTGTGATCCTTCTGAGTTGCTGAAATTACAGATGTGTACCACTGTGCTCAGCAAGGAGGGAGTCATTAAAAGGTGGAAGCCAAAGTCTTGGGAATATCTAAGATCATATCCCAGAAGGAATGTAAAGTGTTCTTTCCTGATAACTCTGGGGAGTTCCAATATTTAAAGACCTTGAAGAAAACTGAAAAAGATGATCAGATGGGAAGAGAACTGGGGTGTGAATACTACAGAGTTCTAGAAAGAAGTGGTAGAGTGTCAAAGGGCCAGATATGTYGGTGAAATAGACATCCATAGATTCGGCAGCTAAAAGGTCATCTGTGAACTCGATGAAAACACTTTCAGGGGCTGGGGCTGTAGTTCAGTGGCAGAGCACTTGCCTAGCATGCATGAGGTCCTGGGTTCGATCCTCAGGACCACATAAAAATAAACAAATAAAGTAAAGGCATTCTGTCCATCTACAACTGGAAAGTAAAGGGAAAGAGCTATATGGAAATATAGGAACCAAATGAGTTTTGGTTTAATTGCTAAATGGGAAGGAGACAGTGGAGAAGGTGAATTTGCAGACAGGAAGAGGGAAGGGACAGTCCCCATATGAGCTGAGGTTCTCAAGGTTTGACAGTGACAGGGCTGAACTGCCACAAGATAGACTTGAAAAATGACACCTTGCAATGGATTAAAATTAACCTGGACACTTAGAAACACTGTCTGCAGAATGGCTTCATGAGTTGCAGACTTCCTGCACAAGGATTGATTTCTGAAAAGTAAGGCTCCTTCTCTGTGGAACTTCTACAGTTTACCCCAATAAAAATTCTAACTAAAGAAGTTTTTGAAGCAGGCAATTATCCCTTTATAAAAAGCACATGACTATACAGTTTCTTCACCTCCCAAACAGCAGTACCAAATTTAGACATTATGGAATTTTAGAATCCTTTTTATCTCTTGAAAATGATATTAAAATGGAAGCGCTTATTTAACTGTCCCTTTATGGCTCAAAAGCAATTACCTGAGAAGGGAATTGCTAGCTCTTAATAATCCTTAGCTGGCTCTAGACATTTAATTGTTCCCYACAGCATCCCTGTAATGTAAAAGCATATGAGCTGTTAACATGCCCAATCTGCAGAGGACTAGGAGACTGATGTTGATGGGTGACAAATGTCAATGCTGTAAGCAGGATTTACCCTCATGTAACAAACAAGCCTGTGACTATATAGCATGTATGCATGTGTGTGTGTTGAGTATGCTTCTTCTTGTTGTTGTTATTGTTGTTGTTGTTGTTATTATTATTATTATTATTATTATATTAATAGAGTGGCTAGGTCCTGTCTTACAGTAAGTAAGAGTTTTATAGATTGAATTCAATTTTATTTCCACTCCTTATTTGAGTGACTTTGTTTCTAAAATGGGACAGTAATACCAGTTATTGTGGTGTTCGAGAAATTAAGGCCAAATCCAGGGCTTGGYTCATGCTGGGGACAGAGGTCTCTTTCCTGTCCCCTTTCTTCTCCCCATCAGACATCTGCATCACATATCATTCTCACTGGCTGTTGGGGTGGAAGGTAACCTGCCCAAGACAGTTCATTCTGCTCTAGACTGTAGTCTTTATAGACCTCCAGGGCCATGCCTCCACTGGCAAGAATAAAATAATTGCTGAGCAATTTTTGATCTCCAAGACATCCAGTTATTCATCTAGTTCAAACCCACATGTTTCAGATAATTCTGTTCATAAGTAATGACAGAGCCAGGGTCAGTGCCTAATCAGTCAGATTAATTTTTCTCTTATTCATAGTCTATACAAAAATCCTATTTCCAGCCTTTTTAAGCATTTTATTCTGTAACTCTGATGTAGGCACCTGTGAATACCATGAACTCATCTAAAACTGTGATAGACTAAATTACTCAATTTCAAAAATTTTAGGTTATAAAAATATGTTTTTAAAATTCTACATCTTGGGGCTGGGGTTGTGGCTCAGTGATAGAGCACTTGCCTGGCATGTGTAAGGCACTGGGTTCGATTCTCAGCACTGCATATAAAGAAATAAAATAAAGGTCCATTGACAACTAAAAAATATTTTTTAAAATTCTAAGTCTTTTCATTTATTTATTTTTTAAAATTTACTTATTTATTTATTTATTTTTACTATGTGACAGGCATTATATGTATTACTGAATTAGAGGAACTTCCTTCTGTGGGTAAAATTTTAGTACTTSAGTGTCTTCGCAAAAGCTGGGAAATGGCTGTCCTTGGCTAAGCACTCTGGCATGAGAGAAGAAACAGAGTCCAGTAAAGATCTCCAGTGTGCTGTGCCATGCCAGTACAGGGAGCGGTCCCATAGTTTGTTTTGTGCCCTAAAACCTTCCAGACCTCAGGGATGTGCATCATGGTGTGGTTTAGAGAGAAAAGTGGGAAAAAGTATTTGGGGAGAATGACAATTATGGAAAGGAGGTGGAAGGGACCCAGCATGATGGCCTTCCTGTAAGTTCTCTTAGGCAGTTCTAGTGTGTATATAGGTATAGGCATT